ACAAACGTGGATCATAGGAAGTAGTACTGCTCTCCTGTCGGCTGACATAAACCCTCCGGGTGAATGACGCCGTACGAGACCAGTGACAGGCGCATTACTTGTCAACACCAGTTCAGTTACACCTAAGATACTGTAGACGTTATATGTCACTCGGAAGTGAAGCGCATTCTGATGTGGAATCGAAATTCATGTTTTACCATTTCCAGTGAAAGTATAAACATCATTACATTTGCCAGCAAGCCTATTTTAAAGTGAAAATTGGAAATCAAATGAAGATGATTCCGTTCGTAAAGGATTTGTCCAGCATGAGTTGAATGATTTGGCATGAGATTTGGGACTATCCAAAAAGGCTTCAGAGCTGTTAGCATCAAGACTGCGCGAGAAAAACTTGCTTGAAAAAGGGCTTAAGTTATCCGACTTTCGATCAAGAGAAAATGCGTTTCTGCAATACTTTCGAAGTGATGATGGATTTGTATATTGCCATAACTTACGTGGTTTAATAAAAAAGTTGAGAATTTCAGCCGAGGGTGTTGTCTAAGGGCATGCGATGCATACCTATAAATTTGAAATAGTATAAAAAGAATTATTATTTTTTATCAGAAATTCAAAAAAGAACGAATTTCTCATTGTTGTGTCTTCTCGAATTCTGCCTCTGCATTCATAAATTATATACATGCCTTCATAAAACAAGAGCTACCGTAATCAGTCTGCTGATTACACTGTAGAGACATTAGGTATTTTTAGAAGAAAGCAAGATGAAAAATTAGCAACGCCTTCGCCCGGAATCGGACCTCTGGAACACCGGCCCAGCGTGCAGAACCACTACACCACGAAGGCACGCTATGAAGGCGGGAGAAATACCTTATATACTCCCCCTTTTAAAGGGCGACTGGGGTTTTTAGGAGACCCAAGCACCAAATCCTGGGTGAGGAAAATCATCATCCAACACCCTTTTAGTTCTGGCACCACTGTAGAGACATTAGGATTTTGGGGGCGGCGGAGAGATGAAAAATTTAGCAACGCCTTCGCCGGGAATCGAACCACGGATCTCTGGAATACCAGCCCAGCGTGCAGAACCACCACACCACGAAGACGGGAGAAATACTTTATAACGCAGATAGATAAAAATTACATAAAATTGATAAATTAAGTAGAAAATGTAGGCAGAATTTAGCTTGAACTGAAGAATTTTATAAATTGCAGTTAAAAAATCATATGACTACCATATAAAAGAAATAATGATTTCTAAGTTTCAAGTCACAAAATACCAATACACAAAAAAAAAACATCCCCCTCTCCAAACAGAATATGTATCGAAAAATGTGAACTCAGTTATTTTTTTTTTTTTTTTATTGTGAAACTGTAATATGTCCAAGAAAATAAGCGAAAAGCTTGATTGTAATAATAAGCGAATCTGCGAACTTTCGTGAACTCAAGGAAGTTTTGTTAAATGTATCTATTCGTAAGTGTGTGTGTGTATTTAACCCTTTAACTGTCAAGTTATTTTGATGATTTGGGTACACAAATTGTCAAATTTTTTAATTGGAAAAAATCAAATGTTTAGTACAAAATAAAATACACTTAAGTAGTTAAAAATTGATATTTTGAAGTACATGGGTAAAATTTTTAAAGTTTTGTTTTCTCGGACGTGACATTTTCGAACACCAGTGCTGTGCCCGAGATAATCTCGGGCATGTCAGTTAAAAGGTTAATTATGGCAAAGCACACTAGGGCTATCTGCCTAAAGGGATGGATGCCTTCGTGGAGGACTTTCTAAGGGAAACTGGCTCATATGCGCGTTACACATGAGAAAAACCACGAAAACACCCATGCAGCCAGCCTGTTCGCGGGATTCGAACCTCGGACCGAACTACCAGTGTTCAGCGACTTTACCGCTCGGCCGCTGGTAAGCCAATCTATTCGTAAGACTTTACGAATTATTAGAATTGAATGTTCTCTATTCTGCGCTTGAGACTGAAAACAAACTTGCTCGTAACTTTATATTATATGTAAATACCATCAGTATTCGTTACATGGCAAGTTAAATTTAAAAGACTAAGTTCCTGATTTTGCCACTATCAACATTAACTGTACCAATGTTCATCTTCTATCTGGCGCTAGGATGAATTAATCATTGATTAGCATAATTTATTTACTGATTACACTTGGAAATAAATTATTGTGTGACATGCATCAGTCAAAAAATATTGAATTACATCTCTAGGATATAAACTGTTTGCAAATGTTATCTGAAAAAAAACTCCATATCAGCATTTCAGACCTTCAATCTGATAAATTTTTAATGGGTGCATTTCATTATTTTATATGCTGTGCAATATTACAAGCTACTTTTGAATAAATTTACATTCATAAATACAATATTTTTTAAATGTGGTGTTCACTGGCATGCCCTAAATGAAAAACTAAGGGCACACCACTGATTTCAGCCTATAACACAATGGCAACTGTTCAATATCTCAAAGCGAAGCTTGATGTATAACATCGCAACAATGGAAATTTATTTGGTGCAATTCCAATAGGCCATTCAGTTTGTTCGTGTGAAGAATATGAAGATATAAAGAGAGTTACAAATTTGTTCCAATATTACACGCAACAATAGATCATCTGTGTTAATTTTAAAATTGTCTGCTTCCTCCTTGGCTAGCAACACGAATATACCAAGTATCCCCGTTTTTTTGTGCATGTGGAACAGCAGAGCTCCCGGGAAACACCGGGTGCTGTTGAAATGGCTGCCAAGATCTGACCTGAAACGTGGTGTTCCAAACATTCTATATCAGCCACTTGTCGATAGAAAGATCATTATAGTTCCACCTTTGCCTACAGAACTGAGTTTCATGAAGCAATCTGTTAAAGCTTTGCCAGATGGAGAAGACTATTTAAGTATCTCATTTTGGCATTTCCTAGCCTGTCATTTGAAAAGCCGGTGAGTTAGATGTTCCACAGATTTGGCAGCTCCTTAAAGATGAACATTTCATCGGAACAATGACAAAACTTCAAATGAATGCTTGGTTGGCGTTCATAAACATTGTCAAAGACTTTCTTGGAAATGCACAGGCAGAGAATTACAGCGAAATTGTCCAGCAACTTTTTTAGAGCTTCAAAATGCTTGGTTGCGACATGAGCATCAAATGTATTTTTACATAGCCATCTTGATTACTTCAATAAAGATCTCGGAACAGTCAGCATTCAGCAAGGTGAGCGGTTCTACCAAGATTTGAAGGTCGTGGAGGCACAGTAAATGGCACGTTCATATGATAGCTCACTATTCTTGGAGCATCAAATGAAAGTGTCCACAGATAAACACTCTAGAAAAAGCTAAAAGCAAAAATTGTTACCTCAATATATATGTTTACCATTTGGTAAAAGAACTTTACTTTTTGTATGAACAAAGTTTAACTTGCGCTAACCATATATATAGCCTTTGTATGAATAAAACTATTCTTTGCGAACAGTATATTTGGTAAGTTTTCCCTTTATACGCATGTTATGTATGACTTTTGTACCGAAAACAGAATATCCTGTAGCTTAAAATGTTGACGTGTTAGACAATAACTGAAGTTATTTTTTGATTCAGAGGCCAAAAGTTACTCAAGAACAAGTGGCAGTCTAATGCAACGAAACTGCTGTTCTCCAGTGTTATTCATTATTTCTGTTTCTAAAGGTCTTGTGTTTTATTAATGGGATTCATAAAGGAAAAGAGTTTTGGTTCATAAAATCCGGCGGGATGCCAAAGCCGTGTAAATCAAAATAAACTCGGTCTCTGAGCTCTATTTACGTTGCTTATAAATTGGAAAAACTGGTATTTCTCCATCTACATTAATGCAAGGCAGTTTTCCTAAATTCTCTTACCATTAAGAGCCAGTATCCATCCAATATTTTGCTATAATCAGCCAAACCATTTGTATATTCTCTTCTGAATTTATATACTTAACCTCATTTTCAGAATACATGTTCCAGGAAAATGTAGAAATGTGATTGGCTACATGTTTATTTTTATCACCAAAATATAAATTTTCATTTTCTGTAGTCTGCCAAAAAAGTTCTTGGCTGCACTAAATAAAACTGAAGCCGTATTGTAGTCAGGATTTGGGTATTTTTACTTTTATATTTATCAAACATATTCAAATATCCTCATTTGTCAAATAAACTTAATTTCAAATATCAATTTTAAATTATACAAATGTTACTCTAGCCATGTGAAACTGGAATCTTGATGGCAAATTTCTAGGTGTAATTGGTAAATAGACGAAAAGCTAACAAATGAAAGAAATATTTTACAGCTGCTCGAATATCTAACAAATCTCTACTCCAAAATATTGACTGCATATATAACAAAATTCCAATTACAATAAATACATTATCTTTTAAAAACATTACCTAAAACCTTAAAAAAAGTGGAAATTATTAATCAGTATATCACATTCTTCATTTAAAATTTTTTGCTCTGACAGATATTCAATCTGCGGATTTACTCAGAATTTAGAGGCACAATAATCTTCAAATGATCACATTACAGGTTACCATAGATTCTGAAGTATGTTTTGAGGCCTTTCATTGACCTTCCAAAAACAAAATGAGAATTTTAATTGTTGATGCATGTAGATAGTTCTAGAGAAGCAATAAATACACTTGTCTGCAGCATTTTATCCAAGCTTTAATGTGTAATATAGAAGCTCTGCTTTCTTAAGTAATTATAATTTTCATTAAAATGATTAAAAAAATTTCCTTATTCTAAGAGAAATAACTAAAATTACATTTTTTAAGTAATGAAATTATAATAAAAAAGTATAAGCTTAGATTTATCACTTTAGCACAGTGAAAAGCAATCTCTTTTATAAAATTCAAGTGCAAATGGAAAAGTTAAAATTTTCCAGAGATAAAAACACTGTTCACATATCTTTTTGAGTACACTATGGAATACAGTCCTGCTATTTTCAATAATCTAAAAAATGCTCGAGAAAAAAAATAACACTATCAAAAAATTCTTAATTTTTCTTTTATTTATTGATGTTTCACAATAGTATCAAAAATAGCCAGTGGGGGTGAACACGATCTTCCACTCGTGGCTATTTTATGGAATTTATGAAGAAATACAAAAATTTCTTTTACAAAAATAATAACCAGAGTGCGACATCATATAGAAACTTTGTACATAACTTTATTCACTCACACAAAAGAAAAGAAGCATTGTCTTAAAAAGTGCTTTGAAGAAAGTTAGAACACGAGCACTTTAATTCATTTCACCATTACAACAAGCAGGGAGAGATCAAATTAATAGATGAATGAGACTATTATTCTTAGAATAGTTTACCAGTGGGAAAAAAATATAACTTAAGGGTTTGGGTTGTTCAAATCGACACTTACATAAAATAATTTTCCAAAAGAACCGATAAGGAATTATATGATTTAAATGAGATTTATTTTAGAAAATTATTGGTACACTGTGAAAATACTCTTATTACAAATGAAACAACATACATTATACTTCAATTGATTTTTAGAGTAAGTATTCTCCATTAAACAATACGTATTATACTTACACACATACACACACACACACATTATAGAAAAGAATACATTAGTATGCTGTCAAAATAAAATTTAAATCAACCTACTACGTCACTGAATTTTAATGCAAAAAATAGATTTCACAGACTTAAATTAATTTTGCTAGCATATTACAAATATAACAGTATATGACATCTTTTTACATCATTAAAAAGGGGATGGAAATCAAGGCATAATGTTCTAAGGATGTATGGATTCATTAAAGGAAATAACTTTAAAAGTATTTTAACAGATTAAGTCAGCCAGTGCTACTACGTTTAGTAGACTTTCATTATTTCAATAGCTGCTACAGCTTAAAAGTTGCTTAGAATTTTACTTTAACAAAATAGCTATGAGTTTCATCGAAAAGACATGGCATTTAGAATGATGCAGTAAAGTCCCCTTTTCTTGCTTTCCATAAAATACAGATATCCAGCAAGACTAATAATGTATCCAACATGAAGTAAAAGCTCTGAAGTGAACGGAAAGCAAAAACTTGAAACAGAGAGATTTTTATCAAGAAAATTAGCCACCAAAATAGAACAGCTGAGTCTGTTGAGCTTTTGATCAATAGTTGTTCTAGCCAACTATCACTATAACAACTATTGATCTAGCAAACTATTACTATAACTACATGACAAACATCTCAAAATTCTTAAAGCACATTTAACAGTTTGACAGAAAATATAATATGAATAGCATTTTATTATAATTCATTCCAATATATTAAAATAAAAAATATGGAATTTCTTTGGTAATTATATGTGTACTAGCAAATGGCATTTTTTAAACATACTACTTCAGTATACTTTTGCAGACATCCATACTTATATGGCTTTTAAATTACTTTCATGCAGCAACTAAGCAATAATCTGTTAAAATTCTTAAAATTCTGATATGTTTTGATGCAAATTTAACTGCAAAAAGTTCATAATTTTATATATATTTCACAGTGTCATTACTAATGAAGATTACTTTGTACAACGAATTATTCCACATGGACAGACATACATCTTAAAAATACATTAACACCCATTTAGCAAGAAATTTGAAAGGCAAAAATTCTAAGATATTCTCATAAATTTAGGGGGCAAAATGTTTTCAACACATTTTAATTAATCATAGTAGTTCTCTTTTGATTCTAGCTTTTTCTACCAAACAATATCCTTTTCACTTTAATATGCAATAATTACAAACTCGAACTCAAAGTAAAACTTTAAGATCCTAATATTCTACTGTTTTTGTCAATGTTTCTACAGTGCACAATGCTTGCTTGGATAAGTATTGAAATACAATATACAAACTCGTCAATGTTTCTGCAATATATATGTTTAAACATATATTGAAACCCAACAAACAACTTTGCCAATGTTTCTGCCATGTACAATATTTGAACACACACTGGAATATAACATGCAACACACTAACACAGTATGAAAAATCACTGAGCTACTAAACATAGTATAAAAATCAGTAGTGTTTTAGTTGGTAGTACCCCCAACAAATCAGTCAATTTATAACACAACATACATAGAAACATGACATGTGATTTGAAATATAACATGATTATTAAGCAAGTAGCATGCAATGCTCTGTACTACTAAATGGTCTCGACAATATTATGGATTTCTTCATTAACGTTACTTTAATAATAAATGAGACTTATAAGTAAAAACATTTGAATATCCCCCTAATGAAAAATCTCAGAGAAATCAAATCAGGTGAATGAAGTGGCCACCATACTACGGAACTACATCATCATCAAAGGATATGGAAATTTTATTAATGCTCATATGAATTGTGTCACATATCATAATAAGTTATTTAAGTGCGTATACTACTATCTTGCATTTCAGACAGATAAAAGTAACATGCTTCTAAAAAAAAAAAAAAAAAACACAAAAATATTTCTTATGAGGATTGCTTAGAAAAACAATCTATAATTTGAAAGCACAACAAAACTGAAATTTGCATAATAATCGTTGCGAATTCCCCTCGTTCACTCAACTATAATAAATCCTAACACGTTTACAAAATGCGGACCATAATAATAAAACAAAGGGGAAAAAAATACGTGTATATCCAATATATCTACTTTAAAAATACAATGTAAGGTGGGTGTTAAATATATTTAAAAGCATGCATAATTCCATGGGGGAACAGGCCTTTTAATCAATATGTTTCAATTTACTCAGGTAATACTACCTACAATTTACAAAAGTCAAAACACAAAAGCCCATATAAGGTAAATCACAATGAAAAAAAATTAAAACAGTAGTATCAACATTGTTACACATGTTCAGTGATAAATATTTTATTAAACAATTTACAAAAGTCAAAACACAAAAGCCCATATAACATAAATCACAATGAAAAAAAATTAAAGCAGTAGTATCAACATTGTTACACATATTCAGTGATAAATATTTTATTAAACAATTTACAAAAGTCAAAACACAAAAGCCCATATAAGATAAATCAATATATTTTACTTTAGCTATGCATATCATATGACCTTAATGCAGTTATTTATTAAAAATAGCTCTTTGGTTGCACGAAAATTAAAAACTCTGAAATTTTTCTCAAGAAGGAAAATGGTTATTTTGTGTTAATACTCTTAGGAATATTTTATGCACTATTTGCATCTGATGGAAAGAGACCATCATTTTATCACTTTACCATTATGTTAAAATTAAAAAAAAAAAAAAAAAAAAAAAAAGCTTCACACAAAGATATACTACAATTTATGCAAATCATAAACATAAATGCCCACTTAAGATAAATTATATTTCATAAAAAAATATTTACAATACTACAGTTAATGTATGTAATCAGTTGACTTCAGTGATAAATATTTTGCATTTGCTTTCCATTATGTATAATCCTTATTTACTAATAACTCCATACTGTATAACCTTAATCTTCATAGAAAAAAGGTTCTTTAATTGAAGATTAAAAACTTCCTTTCAATTTTTCTTAAAATGCAGTGAGAATAATCTTCCTAAAAATGCAGAAATATTTTACTAACTGCACTGCTACAAAGGTTCTGGCAAAGAACCTATAAATCTTATGTACGGTACCGATTTTAAGTATGAATTCAGATTTTCAGTGCCACCCACAGCTTTTTAGTAACACCACTTTCTAGCATGAAATGTTTCATAATACTCTTAAGTATGTAGAAATTCAAGCTACATATGTAGGCAAAGTCCAGTTAAGAAAGCCTCCTCTCTCCAATGTTGACTTGTTTTCATAATAGGAAGGTCATGGCTGTGCAGAGTTTAGGATGATTTTAAAGTTTCTAAAATCAGAGGCCCTACCCAGTACTAGGCCCTGTATATAGACAAACTGAAGTTTAAATTGCAAGAAATGTTTTCATTTATATTTATCTGTACTTCTTAATACTTTTGTTTCAGTTTTACATTTAAGGTTTAAGGAAAGCTGAATGACCAGGAAAATTGGCAGTTTGCCTCGCATTCTATTCTCAGCTATTGAAATGGACAGCTATATGAGGTTTTCCTCATGTGCTATAAAAACACAATAAATAATTCTCCCTCCCGTTAAGCAGATAGCCTCAGTTTGCTTTGTCATAATCAAATAATTCCATTCCATCCAGTTTTCAATTAAGAGCAACAATGCATTGCTATCTTGTTATTGCCAATACAATCTGCTCTATTTTATTTTATTTTATTTATTTATTTATTTATTTATTTATTTTATTTTATTTTATTTTTTTTTTTTTTTTTTTTTTTTTTTTGTAGAAGCATTTAATTTACATTATTATTTGTTTTAATCCACTGAGTAGTCCAACTTTTGGCATCTGCTTATGAATTTAAATGATAATCATTGGCTTATATTGGATGACTACTTACTTTACTTTTTATTTGCATAACCTTCCATTCATTATGAAAATACCTGGTTCATTAAAAGAAATAACATAACATTTCAAATCATAATGTATAATATAGATTAAGTGACTCCTAAGATCTGGAGGGAGGGGAAAACAGGTAAGCCAGCTAGAAGGTTAAAAAACACAGTGCTTAGGAAGTACATTAATCCAGTTTTTCCCTTCTACAACAAGGATGATGAGTTAGCTTTTAACACTATAGCTACTGATCCATCAAAATGACACTTTCCTCCTTGGCAGAAATAGGTGCATATTATTTTTTAATACTTCTAGCATAAAGAACAATATCAATGTGAAAGAAACAAATACCTTTGAAATAATTTTATAAAAGACACAGTCGCATATATATATATATATATATATACACACACACAGTGATTAACAGTTGTTCTCCTTAGAGTGAATGGATAGCAAATCATTATGTCCCAAAACATGTATCACTAATACCTGGAAAGTTTAATGTCATTAACAAAGCACATGTGTATCATGAAAAAACAAAGATGCCTCCCTCCACTAGCTACAATTTATGTACACTTTTATTAATGCAATAACTACAAAAGGATTAGGATTCACATAATTGAGAAGCAAGTTCTAAAACAAAACTGATAATAAAATCAAAGTATTTTCGTGCGATTTAAATTAGGAATTACTTACAGGTAAGAAATTTAATCAGTAGTTTGATCCAATAAAAAGAAATAAAAAAATCTATTTTTCAAGACTGTAAAACATTTCTGAGATATGTAAGCAGAGTTGGATTAAGATTACTAGAGGCCATAAGCACTTAAAAAATTTTGCCGCCCTCACATTTACAGTGCAATGCATGTTTTCCCCCATTCTCTCCCTTTCGATTCCATATATTCTATGATAAAATACTGAGATGGGAAATTTTTTGGTGCCCCCTTTCCTTGATGCGCTAAGCATATGCTAATTTTGCTAAATAGTTAATCAAGCTGTGAGTGTAGAATATATATATATGATCCAAAGTCAAAAGAAGCCAAGAGATGCAATGTTTTTAAAACACCACTTTTTGCATTTCCATTAAGCATGTAAAGAGTGCACAATAAGCATATGAGAATTTTCACTAAGAAATTTTTAATACTGCAAAAAGATATCAAGGCCACTGGAGTCACAAATGCTTGCTGATGTTGACTGGACCCATAAAACACTCACTCTTCAGCTCACATCCAAAAAAACTGTCATATCATCAAAAAGTCATATTTGCTACTTCAGGTGACTTTTTGTATTGACGTACATAATACATACTCATATAATTTTAAAAAAGTGTTAAAAATAACTTTATGATAGTACAATTCAAATTACATATTTGAATTCAGATAAAGAAACACTGTCGCTCACATATTTTGATTTCTGTAGCAAAGGTGAATTAAAAATCTATTATTGTGTTAGCATTTAATAAGGGAAAACCAGTATCGTACCAATTTACCACCAAATAACATAACAGCAGAATTTCACATGCATGAATACTGCAATGCACACAAATCAGAGAAAGCCCATAGAAGATAAATTACATTTTAGCACACATTATAAAGTAACAGTTAAATATCAACAATATTACAGATACAGCAGGTATCAGAGACTTCGATCTGAAATATTTTTGCATTTGCTTTTAACACCATATGGTCTTAACACAGTTCTTCATAAAAATAGGTCTTTGGTTGAAAAAGAATTAAAATATTCCTTTTGATGCTTTTCTTATGAAAAATGAAATATAGCCCATTTTGATACAATGATTCTAAATCTTTAAGAATATTTTATGAATTATCAATATCTGATGAAAAAGAGTAGCTGTCTCATCAGTTTATCATCATCAAGCATAATAGTACAGCTTCACACACATGAATACAACAATTTTATGTTAAGTGAAAACATAAAAGCCAATTTAAGATATAAATTACATTTAATATGCATTACAAAACAGTAGGCAGATATAACAGTAATACAGATGAAATAGGTATCAAATGGCTTCAATGACAAATGTTTTGTTACTTACAATATTATAAGATTTTAATGCAGTTCTTCATAAAAATAGCTCTTTGGTTTGAAAAGAATTAGAAACTTACTTTTTATACTTTTCTCAAGAAATATGAATAGTGGTTATTTTGTGATAATGATCCTAAAAATTTAGGAAAATTTTGAGAAACATTCAAATCTGATGACAGGAGATTGTTGTTTCATCTATTTATCATCATGAAACATATTGTAAATTCACACAAATGAATACAGCAGTTTACATGAAACAAAAGCATAAGAGCCCATTTATCATAAGTAACATTTAATGCAGAATATAAAACAATAATCAGATAATTAACTAAATTACAGATGAAACAGGTATCACATGACTTCAGTGACATATATTTCACATTAGTTTCAATATCTTAACACAATGGCTCATAAATTCTTTTTGTTGCCTAAGTATTCACTACCTTTTTTTTTTTTTTTTTTTTTTTTTTCATTAACAGTAGTAATTTTGAGCTAATGCAGGTACAAATTTAGGATTATTTTATTAATCACTGACACGCGATGAGGAGAGTCTGTTTTGTATTGAAATGCATGGAGCTTTTATATAAAACACTAATAACAGACTGTAATTAGCAATTATTCAGAGCCAGAAAATTTTATCTTTACATTAAAAGAATTACTATAACTATTCCTTTAAGAAAACTTTATCTATGCACATATGCCACAATATTAGCATGTATGGAAAATTCATTGAAATACTTAACATGCTTCACATTTATATATAAATCAAATGTTTTTAAAAGCACTTATCACGTTGCTGATGCATTTGCAGCAAAGCAAATAAAAATAATTACTGATTACACTACATTCAATCTAAATGACACCAACCATTTATAACAAAACTTATAAACCTTCTTTATTGTCATAATAAAAAAAAGTAAAACATTAGAGAGTTTATGAAACACTTAAATTATGGGAAGCTATTATAAAAGTTTACAAGTACAAGACTTTGAATATTTTCATACCTTTATTTTATGACCTCAATTGCAATTTTTAATAAAATTATGTATAATAAACATAAGCTGGGGAAGTAGTGTGTTTATTCAATTACTTTATGCTTTTTGTTTTGCTTTTATTAATGGGTAAACCTCCCCCAAAAAGATATTTCATTTAATCTATCAATTGCTTCACAGTATGTATATAAGATGATTTCAAATGCCAATTTCAATTTAAAACACGAAGTTCCTTGGTATATTCTAAAAAATTTAACACCACAATTGAAACTTCTGATAAACTTGCTTCAGCATTGAAATTAAGTTTCATTATCAAACTATGTTGCTAGATTAAGAGGCTAGTTATGTCAGTTGCCATCTGCAAAGCTAAGCTTAATAAGGATGCTAAATAATTTTACCAAAATATAAAATTACACTAAATATCAAGTTATTAGCATAGTTCCCAAATCATAGTACAGACAGAAGTTCCCAAATCATATACCATTACGATCTTTATTGAGGCCTGCCTATTTGTAGACAATCATTAGAAGGCCACTTTACTTGCAATTAGGTTAAATAAATTATATTACTGAGGAACAAATTCCAAATGCTCATAATTCGAAAATTAAAGCTGCAAATATTTTTTATCAGAAACATACAAAGTCTAGTTTTTTTCTCTCCCACCTTCAGCCATCACGTTAAATTATAACCACATGGACTGGCCAAAGGAGAGTTGCAGCATACCTCATAAGAGAAGATCTTTAACTTATGTTTCAAATCATAAAAATACACTGCTGCCACAGTGGCCCAGATACAGCTTTTGCCATCTGGGGTGCTCCCTGAATTTGCTGCCCTCTTGATATAAAAAAAAAAAAAAAATTTAAAAAATGTCAAATTAACATACAGAGAAATAAATTTAAAATCTATGATTACTTTTGAAGAAATTTAAAAATCATATTATTTTGCTTGTATGTTTTGTTCACAAAATCATCCATGACATTGCAGATATCTATTGTTCTTGCTGTTATGTAGACAGTACAGAAAGGTTTCTTAAATGCTAAATAGACATTTGTATTCTTAATTATTAAATGATTTTTATTTAGAAAACACTTCTCACAACCAGCAACACTTAACAGCAATTGGGAGAAAAATTCGTATCAGTTTTAGAACATTTGGATCTTTGTTCAGGAGATCATATTTTTGAATAAACTGCAGGTATTCAAAAGGACCGTCTTCCATGTTCTTATTTAAATTTTCCTAGCAGTGATGGCAAAAAAACTATGGAATACTTCTTTCTTACGGAGAAATTCTTCCTTATTAATGTAACCATGATCATACCTTAGCTGATATTTGTAATTTTCATTTGACAGTTTTGATAGAATAAAAAAAAGTATAATGGTATAATAAGGATATGTAGCTGTTGAAAATCTCATAGTGATTTCTTCGAATACTTTATCAAGAGTAAAAACTATTTTCCCCTTCAATATAATTCGGTATGCAATTCAGAATCTTATTCCTTATGTGCTTCGACTAACCCCTATCAAATACAGTTTCACACCAGATGTGCCACCTCCAAAAATGTGCCACCCAGAACAGATTGTCCTCTTCAGTCACTGTGCTACCAGTGTAATAACTGGCAGAATTTAAAAATATTACATTAATTTTTAATATTATATCTTATTGATATGATTCATAATATTTAACTTATATTTATAAAATCTCACACTATTACTGTAGTTAATAAAAGATGTTTCTAATGCCACATTATGTGTATTCAGTTAAAGAATGATCACTGGCCTGCAGCCCAGTGTCTATATCCAAAAATATTAATACCTTTAAAGACATTTGAGAATTAAATTTTTAATAAAGAAGGTAAAGTTTTTCATTGTAAATAAAAATAAAATTTTCAATTTTTTTGTTAGCAGAAAATCTTTAAAATGCAATTTATGACTAGAATCACAACTTAAGAGTCAAATATTAATGTCTGCAAACTGAATATAAAAATAATCTCCAATATAAATAAAAATTGTACCACAGTCAAAAAAGTAGAAAAAATGCACATACACTTAATGTATATAGGAATACATTAGTATGAAATTAATGATTAAGTAGTTTGGAATATCAACTTCATTCACGAATATTAGGAGGGGACTAATTACAGCTAAAAGGACAGCATTTAGTCACATTAATTTTCTATTTAGAGTTCTACAACTATGCCTTAGCTGGATCCAGCAGAGAATAAGATGCATTTCAGATACACAGAGTTTAATTTTACTTACATTTATGAAAAAATTTAGAGGTTTAACTGGTGTATAATGCAAATGCAAAGGCTGACACAGCTTCCTGAAATAATCGTGAAAAGCTGATTTTGTGATGAATTTCTGTGGTCATCTTCAGCAAAAATAACTGTGAGAATATTTAGAAAGCTTGACAAATCAACAGAAAGACAAAAATTACTATAGTTTAAATGCTTGCAATGCTGCTGGATTTTAGACATTAAACTGCTACGATAAAACAAAAATGCTGACAAATGTTGGTAGCAGATGCAAAATTTTATATAACTACTTCAATATAAAAATCAACATTAACAGTTTTACATTTAGAAAAACCTACTTTCACAATAAAATTTAACTGAAACACACATTTTGATTTTCACAAAGTAAGGGGCAGTCAGTAATCTTGGAAACAAAGAAAATACATTTACAAAATATAATGTTTAATATTTCAGAGTAAATCAAAATAGTCTCATTCATACAAAACAGATTTAATGCAATAAACAGTAGCTCAGAGAACAAAAATTTATCACAATAAAATTTAAACCTCTTAAATGACAATTTTAGGATCAGAAAACATCCTTTAGCAGTAAAAATTTAAAATTTTACTCCTAAAATAAACTGAAAACATATGGAAAAAATCTTATAATTTAGTAAAATTTTCATTTGCAACAAATAGAAAAGCAGAGTCTAGTTTAATTTAAAGGTGTAACTGCTTTAGATTTTTTTATAATGAATGTTTGAATTACCTTATTTTTCATAAGAAAAATAGTGACTGTGCAGATAAACAGTTTATGTTTCTAAGACTGGTTTCATACGTGTCACAGTTTCATCAGTCAGAATGATCACAACATATATATCACACCCACATTCAACCATTAAAATCCAACAATCTTAGTCATTATCAGTTTTAGCATAGACATAGCCTCCACATGCCAATTTAGAACATGATTTTGAAAATCAAATCATAAGGATAAGAAAACAACTTCATGATAATTTAAAGTAAAAGAGAAAACACGTTATTAAACCTCAGTATAAAATATTTATGTCAGGTTATATGAAAAACTGATCAGCTCCCAGTATCAAGAATAAACACTCAGTTGTCCATGGATGCAGTCATAAAAAATGTTCATGCATTATATGAGACATTTCATTTGCCATAGATAATGTCAAAAATATTACTAATTTTGTAATGGAAAGAGATATTAATTACTTACCACATTTTCAACAAAATATATTCCAAAGTTTTCAAAAAAGTAAAACAGGAATTAAATCTACAGAAGCAAAAATGAGGATACAGATTTAGTCTTTCAGGTAAAGTACAAGCAAATAAGTGTTAAAGGAAAAGCCTGTAATGACAAAACATTCTAGATGAAAATTTCAGGAAGTTACAAAAGCTTAAATATGTCACATTAATGAAATGCAAAACTTTGAAAAGAATTCACCTTCATTACAGAGAATCTCATCATGTGTTACCTAGATCTTTGCAAAAGGCAAAATAACTGACAACAGCCCTGATGACAGGCAATGAAGACTGCTGCAAAAAAGGGTCTAATGCAATCAGCATTTCAACTGGGCCACTTTTGCTCAGTGATTGAAGGATTATAGACAATAAACTGCCAAATCTCAGCCACGAATTGGGCCTCAGAAGTTCAGAGAAGAAAATAATGCTCGCACACTCAATAACTCAAGACACTTGCAATTTGCATATTTTAAAGACTTGCCCATTGCAAGTGTTGAGCACTGAATACTGATAATTGACACATCTTTGAATACTGGAGGAACACAGCAGTTGATTCAAATCCTGACAAACAGGCCACTTACATTACCATTTTTGGGGTTTTTCCTACATGAATAGGAGCCAACTCTCCTTAGAAAATCATCAAATAAGGCATGTCATTCCACAGACAGACAGCTCTTACATGCTTTGCCCTTGTGGTGGTCTTGATGATCTCCTAGTGTTTGCCCCAGGAAGCAGATTTAAATATCAACAGGACAGGACACAGAGTGCTTTTGCATAGCAGTACAATGTTAGGCTAGTATGGGACAGACCCCAGTTTTAATCCCATGGTCATTATCATTTATCACCTTCATGTACCTGGTGCCACACTTTCTCTCCTTATTAACAGATGGCAACATGAGACTGTGGCTGCTAAAAGGAATAAATATTGATATTCGCCATACCATGTTAAATTAACCAAGCATACATGAATTTCAACAAGCATCTGGTATGCATTTCTGACTGTCTTAAGGCATCCATGTTGTATTAAAAAAAAAAGAAAGAAACTGAATGACTTTATGCATAAACATACTTCAAGTTTTCAAATTTGTTTCAAAATAGTATTTAATATCTCTCATTACAAAAGTATGTTCTGTAATGTTGGAACAAATTCATTAACTGTATAACATAATAAGCAACTTAGACAAGCCTAAATACTCCACAGTTCATTATCCCAAATGCAAGATAACCTTGCTACAAAATAATGTAAATAGCATTCATCCAAAGGCCTATTTACATGGTCCTCAATATAATTACATTTGAGACTACAGTATCTAATTTGCTTTTCACATGTTTTAATAATTTAAAATATTTGTACTTCTATTCTTATTATCAATTCATGATTAATATGATACAATTTTATGATTTTTTACATTTAAGATTCCACAACTTTCTCTCGGAGGGGTTGCACTATTAAAAAGCAGATTCTAGCAACATCAAATTCAGCATCTATTACACTCAAATTGGAAGAGAAACACACCAATGAAAAGCTTAAAATTAGTATAAACGGCAATATTATTTTGGTTATAAAATCTATGAAAAAAAAAGTTAATTTTTACTAATTCTAAGGAAAAAAAATAACACATTTTAAATTTTCTACTAGATTGCAGAAAAGCACAGCAGTTGATCAGTCCAGAGAACTCCGGCCTAAGAATTTTCCTAAACTCCTTGCCATATTTTTGGGTAAAAATATAAATACATTGGATAGTAAACGGAGGTTGAGTACTAAAGCCAATCTTTATATTTATTTAAGATTTCAGTCATATTCTTTAAAACCTGCACAGCATATATGTAAAATAATGTGATTAATATAGAAACCTAACACTTTTAAAACTTGATGATTTATTTAATAAAAACGCTCTGCGATTTGATAAAAAAAAGGCAAACTAAACAACTAACCTAAAACTCCATCAAGAGTATGCTTTAATTTTAATAATGTATTTTACTCTTAATTAGCTATGTTCAGGTTATTGCATATAAAAATGTGTCTCCAAAACAAATTTGCTTTGTGTTTAGCCAGAGTATGTGGAACGGGAAGGAGAAAAACAAAAACAAAAGTGTTTAAAGCAAGCAAACCTCAGGCTATCATAGAATTGCTGGCATAATAAAAACTGATCTTTCCCATTAGCTTTTGTATCACAGCTGATACTGTTTGACATAAAATAACAACCAATTCAGTAGATACAAATTAAAATTTTTGATGTACATAAAATGCTTTTAGTCGATATAATTGCACATTCAACACACGGCTTGACTGACCTAAGACAACTGTCCAAATAACGAATCATGCAGACAGGCTTAACTCCTTTTATTTAAATATTTTATGCATGATATGAACATAGGTAAAAGGTCTGTAAAAAAAATAAAACCAACATTCCATACTTTTATAATATTCTGCAAAGGTGTATAATTCTTAAACATTTAGTTTTAAAGTAAATCAACCTGGAAGTGGAAGCTACATTTCGACTATGCGTCTTATTTTACCTCTTTCATAAAAATAATCTTTTGATACTGGTAAAATGTTTAATCCAAAAAGGAGGAAAGGAAAAGAGTAAAATTCATTTTCCTTATTTATTTTACTTTTTTAATCAATGGAATATTTTACTATCAAAGTCTTAGCAGAAATTATTTTCCACTTGGAAAAATAAGTTGTATAATCCACATAATTATGTAGCAGAATATTAATAAAAAATTGAAGAAAGTTACACAGAATCAGCAGATATGATTTTAAAAGGTTAATTGTATGTAAATATTATTTTGCTACACACATAATATAAGTATAACTTGCTGTTAAATGAATGTGAAAACATTTTCATTGCAATAATGTTAGGTAACCCTAAGAATGGTTAACTACAAATTAAAATCACATACATGCTAAAATAATAAGCACCATGCATCTTTTCTTAAAGAAATGAGTTAATTAAAAAGTTAACTATTTGTCTTCCTTTTGGTTCTGTATCAATAAAATTAAAAGGGCATTAAAAAGAAATGGAGATATTTTATACACACATAAACTTGATGTGTAGTCATAATTAAAACAGTCTTAAATAAGAGTGCTACCACTCTAAAACTAAACACCTAATTATAGAACGTACGCATAAATGATCCGTGTTCTAAAATTACAGACAACCTAAAGAAAATCAAATGAAATTAGTAAAAATATAAAATATACCCTGTACAGATATTCACAACAATAGATAAAGAAATACCGAGTCATAGAAAGAGCGGTTTCTTTTTCAATGTCATACTCAACATATAGTACAAACATGAGCCATAAAATCTGACATTACAAAGAAGTAATAACACTTTACTATGTACAGAGATATAAGATAAGCTAAAGTGAATTTTTTTCCTGTACATATTTAAATACATTTTTATCTAAAACTTTAAGATTGCACTATACTTTTACTAAATGCTTCCAAAGATTATTTGGGAATATACAAATAAATGTAAAATTTATACAATGATTCTTAGAAATGAATTATATATTAAAATATGCAGACTTAATTATGATAAACATATAGTACGAATAAGATGTTTAAAAATATGCAGTTCCACTAACATTTTTAGTGCAATAAAGCAAGAAATAAAGCAGAAAAATTGATTCAGTATGTAAAAAGCTGACAGAATAACAATACAAAATATAATCACATTATCAAACAAAAAAGGCAATTTCACTTACTAACCGCATTTCCTGCAAGAAAATATAATTATGATTTTGAAAACTAATTCAGCATTCAGGATGAAAGAATAACACAGAGTCCAATACTTCAGGGGTTCATTTCTTGAACAAATACTATGTCAACACACAAAACATTATGACCTAAATTAAAACTAAAGCAATAGCTTTGCTCCAGTGAATGAAATTTTTTATGAGAATTAAACATAGGAACTTTAGCTAGGTGAAATACCATCACAAAATATGACTATTGAACACTTCTTATTCACACAAACACTAAAAACAGATATAATATATTGGTCATAGATATTTTTCCTCTTTTAAAACTTTGGAGAACAAAATCATTGACTTAAATTAGGAGAAGGCTTTTTATCTTCTTGGTTTGCAGGTTGGGAACTAGTAGAAGGGGCGGAAACAGGGGTACGTTCAGAAGAAGGGGCACCAGATGACAGAGGGCCTGACCAGGTTGATGGTGGAGGTCCACCAGTTGTACTAGGGGCTGATGTTATAGGGTTTGTCTGGAAATCTTCATTGTCTTCTAAACCATTGGCTGTCGCAGCTGCTGCTGCAGCTGAAGCATCATATTGAGTATTTTCAAGCCTGGTGATGAGCCTCTCATCTTCATCACCAAACTCTCCCCCCATTAGTGAAGGCTCCCCGACGACCATCACATCCTACAAAAGGAAAAATATAATATTATTACCAAATTTTCAGCTTCAACAATATCTTAACTTTAACAAAGCATCCTTTGTCACATATAGACTAATATACATATAATGATTTAGATTAGTCCTCAGTTTTATTATACCAACAAAAACGATGATTTACTTTGAACCTACACATACAGTGGTCATCAAAATTAACGGCTAGCGAGAAAAAATATGTTTACAAAGTTAATGTTGCAAGCAATGCCCAATGATGTATTTATTTATGTTAAGTAAATATAATTGAACACATTTGCTCTTCCATGCATATGTTAGCAATGAAAATGTGAAAATTTGGTGATTGACAATGTAGTGTGAAATGGATGCATGTTGGAACTCTGGTTTGTAGTGTTGTTTAAATTGAATGTGGTTTCTGAGATTCAGAAGTTATGGCTCAAGGAATTCAGTAGTTAAGGCTCCAAGGCATTAAGCAAATGTCAAAAGTGGCAAATAATTGGTAGAATCGACAAAAGGTGAAACACAAATGAAGGTTGCCCACAATTTGAATATCCCTTAAAACATCACATCAAGAGTTTCGAGCAGCTTTTTAAGCACTGGATCAGGTGACAGACAGCTTAGTCAAAGGCAACCATGAGCAACAACTGCATCAGAAGACTGTGTTGTTGGCACAAAGTAACTTTGATCGACTACAAATGATTTGGTTTCAGATCTTCAGACTGTCATAGAAACTCGAATTAGCTATTTTACTGTTGCACTAAGGCTTAATGATGTTAGACTGTATGTGAGAAAACCAATGGTTTTGTGTCCCATTCATTCTAGCTTTCAGAGCAGCTCGTTTAAACTGGTGCCGTCGTCACGTTCAGTGCAGCCAAGACAACTGAGCCCAAGTAATGTTTACCAATGAGTCCAGATACAGTCTGAATAGTGATTCCAGGCGTGCTTTAATCTGGAGAGAGTAAGGAACATGCAAAATAGGGATGTATTTTAAGTAAATGACTTTAATTAAATAATCTCACTCAATTTACCCTATATATATATATTGCTTTACCTTGTTTGCAAAATATCCTGTTTCCACAAACACGGTTTAATGGTGTGGGAAGGAATTGTGAAAAATGGCCACACTGAGCTGCATATCTTTCAAGAAGGTTCTGTAACCACTTGGAGATACGTGGATAAAGTATTGGAACCTCAAGTTAAAATGCTTAGGGGTGCTGTTAGCCCAGAGATATAGCTAATGGATGATGAAGCTTGGCCTCGTCGAGCACATGAGGTGTCACATTACTTGCAAACAGAAGATATCCAAGGATTGGCCACCTTGGATGCCTTAGGGCACTAAATTTCAGTATACCAAATTCCTCTCCATACCCCCCTAAAGTTGAAAAGTGCATTTTTAGAAAAGTGATGTGCAATTCCACAAGACTTGATCAACACTTTGGTAAAGTCTATGAAATCAAGATGTGAGGTAGGTATATCTGTCTGAAGGACCATACACCATATTAAAGAAAAATGTTTTCCACAAGAGGTGACTTAAAACTTAAGGCCGCATGACGACATTTATGTACAAATTGTGCCATTGGACAAAAAACAAATGTTTCAATAGTTTTGCTCCGTGAACCATTGGAATATGCAGTTTAGATGCGAACTATTTTTCACCAAATTTTAAATGCCTCTATTGTGATCCAAAAGTTGCTTTAGGGGAATAATGGTAAAAGATATGGTATTCAACTCCCCAATTCACCAGTTACCAAGAAGTAAAAGCCACTGAACACTGGTAGTTTAGTATGGGGTTCACATACTGATGAGCCAACTGGCTGCATGGCATTTTCATGGCTTCCCTATGTAACGTGGATACATACCAGTTTACCTTAAAAAGTTCTCCACTGGGCATCCCTCCCTTTCATGTAGTGCCAAATGGTGAAGTACATAATAATAATTCCATCCTTTAAACCTGCACTTGGTCAAAATAGGGATGTATTTTAAGTAAATGACTTTAATTAAATAATCTCACTCAATTTACCCTATATATATATATATATATATAAGTTTATGAGCTCATAAACAAATTCTTTTAAAAAATGCTACTAAATTTCAATATAGAGTAGCATAGAAAATGTGAAAAAAGCGTTTAGTGATAGCTGCAGTTTCAGTGCATGAGCAAACTCAATCCAATTTCTCAGCCCTGAAATATTTTCAAAAACCAATTTAGCAAGATTTGAGCCTGATAGTGAATGCCTAAAAAAGTGGTAACTTTAAAACATCTAAACCCTTCATCTGCTTTCCTAACAGCGAAATTGGTTCAGTTATCAACAAAATTATGCACGTTTATAAAACACAGACTTCAAAGTGAGATGCAATGCAGTTCGTTTCCACTGTGTCCCCATATGAAAATGGCAACATTTTCTACCACCTCAACTACTAATATATTCACAAAAAGTATCAGGCATTTTTTTAAACACATGGATATGTGATTATAACAAAGCACACAAGGGCTACTTGATTAACAGAAGAGATGCCTTTATGGCAGACCTTTTTATGGGAAGACTTGCATATAAGTTACACAAGGTGAAAACAGCCATGCAGCCTTCCCATTTGTCAGGGATTAAACCAAGGTTGAACTTCCAACATGCAGTGGTCTTAACCACTCATCCACTGGAGGGGGAAGATTTTATAAAATAATAATGATATCCATTCTTTAAAATACTTTGACATGCAATTAATAAAGCTGAATTTCTCCATGATTGGAAAATAGCAAAATCTAAGCAAACTAAAATTTTACTTCATAAACCATGATTAACAAGAACAGAACTCAATTCATGATAAATTTTTTAACATCATTTCTGTCTAGCAGACCATAAAGTATTAAAAATGAATTTAATGAGTCATTAAGGAGCCATATTTCCATACTGAAATAACATTTCCTTTTACAGTTATGTTATATTGAATAAAAAGCAACTATTATTTCAGAAAAAACAGCATAAATGAATTTTTACGGGCTGTCTTTTACATACAGTACAAAGTCCGCAATCCTTCTGAAATTTCCAGATTATACATTAATCTAGTAAGTAAATCTAATTTTAATCTAGTAAAATGACATGTACGCATGGAAACATAGGGGCTTCACTTAACTGTTTAGGTCAGACAGATAAACGTCTCACATCCTCACACCCACTCAAGAGCTAAAAGGCCAACATTAATATGTCAATCAATTCACAGTCACTGACCAGAGCACCACATCCTACCCTGCAGCTGTTTGACAAAGCTGCCTGCAAAGAATCCCAGTTAAGTGGTGAGACAAATGGCATTTATGGCACACCTGCCTTCATTTACTCAGTGTTATATTCTCCATTCCTAGACTTTTTAAGTTGGGAAGGAAAGTTTTCTTATTTATTTATGTATACATTAACTTGTTAGTTTTGTGGTCTGGATATAGGATGTCAGGTTTTGGACTTTATACTGTAATAACAAAGTAAGACCTGAAAAATAATGGAAATAATAATATAACACACAAAGAGGAGGAAGATGTTTAATATTTCAGCCATATTTTAAGTATAAACTTGGGCAAAAATGTGGCTGGCTTTAGGAAACAAATTATTCCTTGTAAAAAGGAAAAATTTGAAAAGAGATACTTGGCACTTTTTCTCAGCTCAGTTATGCCTAAGCTACTTGATGTCTATGAACAAAAGAAAAAAAGTTTCAAATGAGGAAGAAATTATTTTAAGCAATGAAATTTGTAGCATATAATGATGCCAAAAGAATTTAAATTTTTGAAAATTTCTAAAATATAAAGGATAAGGAATTAAATCAGAAATTAGGAAAAGTACCTCTACATTAATCTCCCAAAAACAAAAACAAAAAAAAAAAATTAAATCTGCTGATAGGAAAATGTTCATCATGTATAGAATAAGTAAGAAAATATGCAATGCTATGTATTATTACCAATAGAAAAATAAAGCAAGTCACGGAAAGGAAGAATTCTATTAAATAATTATGACTCTCCACATATAAAATTTGAGGTTCATACTTTGTATTTTGAAGACAGAGAATATTCAACGAAAAACAAATGTAGTCTACCTGAGAAGCAAGTGTAAAGTTAGGAGGTCCAGGAGAAATATTTTTCTTTTTTCCTCCTGTACCTGCTCCTCCACTGTTGGCTGCTGATGACTTCCGTTTGCGTCTCTTGCTTGGAGGACGTTGAGTTTCTGTAGTTAAACAAATGACAGTTAAACAGAGTTTTCTACTGACTGACAGAATTTCACTATCAACCCAACCCTCCATTCTAATATATATATTCAAAACCATTTATGAAACTTAACAGCAAGCAGAAAAATATTACAAAATACATGACTCCAACTTACAGCAAAATCTGTCAGAAGTCAACACACAAACAATATTTTTGCAGCTTTGAAAATGTGCATGTAATCTTTTATATATTGACAATTTTTAATTAACTTAAAAATCAAAGTATAAAAAAAATGTATTAAAATCCTTCCTGTAATTTATAAGCATATTAAATTAGAAATATCACTAAATTATTAACACATTTAATAGTATAGATTATTGTATCAAATATTTTAAATCGTAAATTATCATACAGAAAATTAGAATCCATAAACCATATAACTGAGGTTTTGGGATTCTAATTTCTACAGGTGGGGAATAATGAAATTCTAAATAGAGAAAAGAAATATGCATATAACCAACAAAACTACTTATAACTCATTTATAAATTATGAATGTAAATATTTATAAACAGCATCCTTTGCCAGCTTAAGTTCTGAATTAGATTATCCTTTTCAATGACATAGTTCTCCATTTGCCTGCAATGAGAACTCCTTTTGCAGTCCTTGAGAGTGACTTTTCATATATAAGTTCGACCAAAATACAATTTTTTTTAATAGAAAAAATCCTTTCACTTGCCTTTGAATGAAGGTGGTTTATTTATTTGTGAGGTACAACTGGTTTATTTATTTGTGAGGTAGAACTGGTTTATTTATTTGTGAGGTAGAACTCAGAAAAATTGCATTTAAAAGCTGCTTTGAATGGTAGAAAAGTGAAACTAAGCTCAATCCATAATTGATTTAAATAGCATTCTGCTTTCATAACATTTGTTTCATTAATTTTGTGAAGAAATTTGATATTTCAATTTTATAGCACAAATTTCTTTGTTTAAAATCACCTTTTATGCTATACGCACCTGAAAAATCTTTGCCACTAGTACAAAATGCATGATTTACAGAAAATTTAAATGCTTAAAGTCACAGAAAGTCTGCAAAATATAAATATCCACATTTCTAGCTTGATAATTTTAGCCTCTTATTATGAAGTAGAATAAATCATGAACTTAAAACTTCCAGCTGAATCACGACTCACAAGAAGCACTTTCTCATCATAATATAACTGAACTGTGATGAAGCAAAGAACATATATCCTGCAAGTTCTCTACCTGAAGGGTAAACAAGTACTTCACTGCAGGGTGCTTGATTGGCAAGATAAAGAATCAGAATTTGCTGAACTAAATTGGTTACTCTACAAAAATAGCAAGATAATCAACACATGATGCATGATGTCAGGAACATTTCACCAATCAATACAGGAACAAATTTCATCTGTTTTACATGCCATGTTCTTTGCTCCCATTTCAGTAAGATCCATAGTTTTTTCAGCATTTTCTGCAGCTCTTAGTTTTGAAGGAATTTCCTTAGAAAAGAAGAATTCGTAGTACTTGGAATTTACATGCACGACTGCATATAACATATCCCCAAAATTAAATGGATGTAGTAAATCAGATTTTGGACATAACGACAAAGAATTTATTAATGAAATTTGCTACTGAGGTTTGTTCAAAAATTTTTATTCTTTACTTAAATGGAGAAAATAGCTGGTTAGCAAGGTATTAATGCAGCTTATATGTGGAATTCTCTTTCAAATACACCACCTTTCTAAATAGCATTCAACTAATTTCATTTATTTTTTGAGTTCTAATTATCAGATTGAAACGTACATGAATTGCATTAAATAAAAGCAAGAAATACACCATCAAAATTCACTTGAGACTACTTTGCATATGAAATGCAAAGTTTCCTAATGTTTGAACTGAAAGTCATAACATTAAGGGGTAATAGATCCTAGCAAAAATAACAATTTTTGCAATACAAGCAGGATGGAATGTAAAAACATAAAAGCAGTTTTAGTCAGATTATTACAAGAAATACTGTTTATTACTTGTAAAAACTGTTCGAATGAATGACCAGCAAGTACATGCATCACAGCGATGAAGGATCTCATTCAAATGAGGCAGACTGATTCTCCTGAAAACTTAGCTGTCAGAATTAGTATCGTTGCAGCAGAAGTATGCAATATGCTGGCCATCTTCCAAAGTAAGAACCAATCATTTCATCACCATTGCGATGCATGTATAGCAGATGGCAAACATTCATTAAAACAATTTCTTGTCAATATTTGTGAATAAAATGGCTTTTTGTTCTCCATTTTCTTCATACCTGCTGTGTTTCTACATTTACATTTCACATTCCAATACATACTGGATTTGTTCTATCACCCCTTAAATTGTGACTATGAATTCTATTGCAACCTGTATAATAGTAAAGAATTAAGTTCTAAGAAAGACTAAAAAATTAACTTTAAAATCAAGTTCTAAAAATATTGTTTTATATATATTCCAGATCACAAATATTTATGAAAGGAAGAAACAAATAATAGAAATTACTCAGAAAAATAAAGTTCTAAAAGTAGAAAATGACATTTCCTTTTACAACACAGCAAAATTATGTTATACCTTATGAACAATTAGATATCATTAATACCAGTAAACGAAAGATCCAGTTATATACGAGTGGGTTTGTGTGCTTACATAATGAAAATTTATAAACTAATTTTGCTCTCTGCATATCAAATGAATCTACCAATTTTTAAAACTAACATATGCTCACAAACAATACCTAATACTTTACTTAAAATTTTGTTCATCAATTTTATTTTCATTTTTCCTTGTGTTTTGCATTTAACCCCACTGGTGCTATTCTCCAAACTTTAGTGATACCTAATTAACTGTTCATAAGTTATTAGTTGACAGAACTTTGCAATGAAGCATAAGGTGAAGAAGAAATGCTTATCTTACAAATGTATACATTTTCCGTGCATTTTTGCAATTTTGTTGTCCCAATCTGTTATTGATTTGATCATTTTATCTATTTGCAAGCTTTAATACACTCTGAATGAGTAGGATTATTACATTAAATACCATCAATTAAGTCAAACCTGACAGCATTTAATACAGTGATCCATGCTTTTAACATGTTTACAAATACAACATGTCACATAAGTATTCAGCCACTTCAGAAATCTTAAACTTTACATGATTTAAAATACTATAAAAATTGAGAAGAAATGCACTAACTGGAATCTTCTTTTTTACTATAATATTACATATAAATATCAATTAATTCAAAATACAAGCAGCAGCTTTACACAAACCAAGAATTAAAGTAAACACAAAAAGTTATTTGACTGTTTGCTATAAAAAAGAAGTTAGGTTTGGATAAATGAATATGGCTAAGCTCACGAGGGCTATCTGCCTAAGGGGAGAAATATCTTCATAGACAACTTTCTAAGGCAAATTTGCCGTATGGCGTGTTACACATGGGGAAACCAATCACGCAGCCAGCCTGTTTCCCTGTGATCAAACTCCCAATATCCAGTGGTTTATTAGTGAGGCATAAAAAAGAGAAAAACAAACTTAAAAATTTAATCATTAGTACTTTATTGCACCACCTTTTAAGGCTAGATGGCATTGAGTTCTTGCACTTTTTAGTCAAGTTGCTGCTAATTTTATTTCCTTCTATTTCAAAGGTGGAGTTTCAAATTTTTATTTTTAATAATAAAAAAATTACAGATTTCTTTTCTCTACATAAATGTTCAATGGGGCTCAAATCTGGCAACTGTACCAATCTAGAGTTTCAAGATAATTAATAATATTATATAAGATTTAGTTAAACCATTATAACATTCAGTTTGCTCACTTGAACAGAAATCCAGAAATTTGCATTTTGTACTTTAGCTGAACACATATATGCAGTTAATTTCTTTTTACTGTTTATTGGTATCATTTTTTAATTATTTAATTTATTTTTGTACATAACAGGAAACAATTTCAGGTAATTGTAATTCTTATTTTAACCATATTTATTGTTTTAAATTATTTATAGTTGCAAATTTTATAAGGTGACCAAATACTTCTGCAAACTACTGTATTTGCTATCTTACAGATTTACTTTCTCAGCATGTTTATTCAAACTTACTAACTTCAATAGCTTTATGCATATTTTTAAGCATTTATTAAGAATATTGTTTATTGATGCATGCATACATACACACACCACTGCTAAAATATCTATTTCAACAGTTTTTGATATAATAGTTCACATGCTTAAAATGCTTTACATTCAGTTAAATTCATGTGCATATGTAATGCTAAAGGCTAAACATGCATGACTTGCAAATGACTAGCACCATACGTATACACACTCACTTCAGATATTCAATTAGCCACTCTTTAAAAGCGCCATTCTATATCAAAATATTTACCTGGTGGGGCGACCATGCGCTGCCATTTTTGGAAAAGCGTTGTTTTGAGACAATCCCTAGGGCTTAAAGCGTATGCTTTATGCCTTGACATAAGCTCTTGCATTGGCTCTAAGATGACACATAACTGCAAGGAAAAATGAAATCAGTGCTCTTTTTGCTAATTTTACATAAAAGACTTGTGTTATATGATCAAACAGATATATGACACAATAACAATTTACGTCACCATTATTTCTTGATAACAAAAGCAACCAATTCATTAAAAAAGCATCTGTTGAAAAGTATTCCTTTTAAAAACTGAACAATTTTCCCAGTGGCATAGCTAGGGAGGGCAAAGGGGGACATCTGTCCCCGAGCACAGCATCCAGAGTGCACCAAACAGATGATACAAAATTTTAGAATGAAATATTATCCATTCTTATTTGCAGTAAAACATAAATAAAAAACATTCGCTTACTCTGTCCATAACCCTATCATTATGAAGAAGGATATCTTTTCCCTTTTTTTCTTGTCATGTGATTAGCAAAAGTGGCAGAGAAAAGGTATGCTTTTTAAATTTAGAAGTAAGATAAAGAAAAGCTATCCTCATCCACTATACAAGCAGCCTGGACAGTTTAAACTAATTCTGGCTTAAAGCATAGGAAATAATAATAATAATAAAAAAAAAAGCGAGTAAAAAGATTTAGCCTTTTTCTTAGCTATTTTTCCATTAGTTCCTTTTTCTTAAGCCACAATTAGTTTAAATATAGCGTTTAAAATAAATAGGCACTTTTTTCTTCAAAACCAACCCTGCATGGAAGCTTTCTCGGCTTATGTTAAACAAGATGTCCCAACCATTTTGTTCCTTACAACACATTCTAGAATGCTGGTGGCATGGCGGGCAAATTTATTTCTTCAAAGTACATTTATAGGTCTGTATAGTTAATACTACACATATTAATCCAAAACTCCATGCCAAACACAATTAATCCAAAAATATAATTTTAAAATATAGAAATGAATTACTGTATTCTTATATAAAGTAACTGCTAAATAATACAGATAAGACTTCACAAGTTCTTTGGTTTACAATACATTGATATAAAAAATACTTTATAAAATAGTAATTCTTTAAGTCAATGTGATATCTGACTTTGCATTTCATTGGCCATTGCTTCATTATTAGGAGAGTATGATGGTATTCCTGCTCTTAAACAATCATCAACATGTTCATCTGAAAGTCCAGATCTGGATTTTGTGATATTCATTATTGAAAACAATGATTCGCAAAAATATGTGGAACCAAAAAATGATTTTGTCTTGTATGATGCTCTTTTCAAGAATGCAAATCTTCCTTCCCACTATATACCAGAAATCCTCATTTGATCCACTAGATTTTAGGACTCCAATTTTTAGTTCGTTTTTCCATTCTTGCTTGAATAAGCTCAGTAATGTATGCTGCTATTTCAGTTACACTTACTTGGTAAGTAAAAGGTTTGTTGAAAAAGGTGACCACTGGTTTGGTAATATTAAAGTATGTAAATAGTTTTTCAAAATGCTGTTGAAATAACTGAAAATTGATAACAAATGACAACAAATCAGCACAAGTGGCTTGATCTGTAAATAAAATATCCAGAAAACCAGTTTAGCTTCAAACAACTTGAACAGACACAGTTAAAAAAGCTATATGTTTGCCTTTTTCCTGTAGCTCAAAGTTTACATAATTCAGTTTCTATATTATGACCATGAGAAAACCTAAATCTGCTATCCAGCAAAAGTTCATTAGCTCAGCTTATGATTCTTGCAAGAACTTTGCCTGAGCCGACATACTTCACTATGCAGAACAAGATCAGGATCTTCTGGATTTTCCTAGCAAGGCTTTGAAATGGTGGTGTTGCAAGGAAGCTGCTCAAATTAAGTTTACTATCTTCATGACTTATTTATGCAAAACTTCCAAGTATATGATACAGTGATAGAATATAAAGTTTGAAAATTATTTATCTTACTTGCAGAGGACAATAAATTTATTAATATTACCAACCATTGCTGGTTCCCCCATCATTAGCAATAGCTTGTGCAGAGGCCTTTCTACCGACTTTGCTTATGCTGTAAATACATTATAGATGTCTTTACTTCTTGTTCATCCTTTTATGAGTAACATTTTCATTAAATCCTGTTTACAATAAAATTAGTAAATACCATTCTCACTGTAACTGCTAAGTGTGGAGTGCTTGATTTACCCACAGAGTCTGACAAATTACAGTGAGACCCAATCACACATTTCAATCATGCTTTACCTAGATTTGCATGTCTTTTGCAATGGCACATATTCCTCTTTAGATGGGCTAGTCTGACACCTGCAAATCTTGTATGCCTGTATTGCTGATATAATCACCCATTTATTAAAAAAAACTCTCAAATAAGCAATCGGCACTAGTTAAAAACCATTCATTTAACAATTCACCAGCCTCGAAAGGCTTTTTCCCCTTTGCAAATTTTGAAAGAAACAACCATAAACTCAGTGAAAACTGACTGTTGGACACACAAGCTCGATTGATTTATTATCTTCTTATTTCATATTTAAATCAATATTTCATATTAAAAGTGGCATGAATTGTCTGACGTGACATTCAACATCATGTTTTTTCAGCACTGCAACAATATTGTTGCAAAATAAACATTAAAAAAAAATTAACAAAACAATTAGGATTCTGAAAGTTTGTGTAAAATTATAGATTCCTAGTCTTTTAGTAGAGAAACTGATTTGGGGACTAAAATAACGATGCACATAAAAACAATGAAGTAGAAAATATCAGCAATAAAAGGAGACACAAACACTAAAGTTATGAACATATAGCGAGCAAAAAATATGGCATTTAGGGGAATTCCTATTAAATGGGGGTTCCTCTTTGTAGATGGCATCTCTATGCGCATTAAATAATTACATTCTGCATATGGCCATATCTACAAACGGTGGCATATCATAAAGTACACGCAGCATTAAAATATTTTAAATGCTTAAATATTTTACATTTTTTAATGTTTAATAAACAACCAATAGCTTATCAAACAGTTACAAAAAGAGAAAGGAGATATGATGAATTGATTTTGATTGGTGGATTCTCCTTTGGGAAATGCAGCATTTTGTTTTCCATGTCTGCTTTTTCCATCAAAAGATGCAGTCAATAGCTATTTTTCTTTCAAAACTGAAAGTGGTTTAAATAGTTGGAAGAAACCAGGAAAAATTACTACACATAGAATTCCAAAAAGCACCGGCATTCTTTCACAACTTGGAAAGGAGGCTGATAAAAAAAAAAAAAAAAGTTTAATAGATGCACAGCTTCAAAATCAAATAACTACACAGAAAGAAAATGTCGACAAGTACTTAAGAGCGTGATATGCTGCTTACAGTATTTAGCAAACAAAATTTAGCTTTAAGAGGCAGAGAAAGTACCTATGAGAATCAAAGAAACACTGGAAATTTAATAGAACTCCTGAAGCATATTGCACAATTCAATCTAATTATGCAGGGCCACCTTGCGTAAGTGCAAGAAAATCCAGTTTCAAATACCTATTTTTTTACCAGAAATACAAAATGAATTTATCCAGCTTCTGGTAACTACAGTAAGAGAAAAACTTGCGTATGAAATCAAACATGCCAAATACTATGATATAATTTTTTATTCAACTCTTGACATTGCTCACCGTGAGCAAATGTCAGAAACTATTAGATACGTAAATATTAACTTTGAGGAAAAAATGTGTTCCCTAGGATTCATTCAAACCCATAAAAATGCAGCAGGTATTACTGGTGTAATATTGCAACACCTAGAGAAGGACAAATTAGCTTTTGAAGAGTGTCAACCTCAGTGTTATGACAATGCACCTGTATTGTCCGGCTAGAAAATCAAAGCGTATAAAAGACTTGCAGCACTTTACTCAAAGGATATATTTGTTAATTGTGATAACCATACACTTAATTTAGTTGGGGTTCATGCTGCTAGTCATGAGGTAGCAGCTGTGATGTTTTTATGTTATGTGATTCTGTTATGTGTTATCAGGGGCTAGTTATAATGCTGTTTTCACTATTGCTGGACTTCCATCATTGAATGTGTTTATTTTGCATTATATAGCTTACAAGGATAGCCTTGCTACTTGTTCTAGTTCTCACTTTCATCATCCATTACCCTTGGCTGCTCTTTCTCATCCACCTAGAAGACAAGCAGCACAAATTTTGGGCTAGTATGGTTATTGATGAAAACTCTTTCTCAATTGTTTGCTATACTGATCGTAGTAGAATTTGACAAAGTTGGTCTGGTTTATGTCATCTTTGAGAATGGTGTTGAAATTGAGCACCAACAATTTCGTATTAGAAATGAATGTACTGTTCATATTTCTGAATTTCTTTATATTACTTTTTCAATTGGGTGGATACTAAATAATGATGGACATGTTTCCAGCTATTTAATCTGCACAGATTCTCTCTCCTCCCTTGAGTCTTTAAATAATGTCTCATCATGTAATGAAATTATTGTTAAAAGCAAGTTTCATGTTTATCTTAAAAGGTTTAATCCGACATCTTCAAATTTGTGTTATTGTGATCTCGGCATTCAGCAAAGTGTTTTCCACCTACTTTTTGACTGCTCTCTGCTTCATTATGCAAGAAATTCACTGAATTGTAGACTATAATTAATAGACCACTAAAACATCACTATTTTGTTTCTTTACCCTCAGCCTACCATGCTTTTAATGATTTTATCAATGTTTATTTTGAATGTTGTAAATGATTTTCTTTGTATGTTATATTTCATTTTTTGTGTGTGTTCCTTTTAGTCAAAGATGTTTGAATTCATTGTATTATTTAATGTGTTTTCTTTTCCTTACATTTTTATAAGCCTCGTGTAATACTTTGTGATGCACTACGAAATGTATTTTCTTCTCAATAAAAAAAAAGTACCACAATTGATCAGAACATTGAGGATTTGAAAAATGTTCTTATGGGAGGTCTTATGGCTGGTTTTAAAGGGAGCAGGATTAAAAATTAATGCAATAAAATGTAAATTCACAGCCACAGGAACTTTGTGCTGGGATATAAAAACTCAAAGTACGGAACAGAAATTCAAAATTTAAAAAATTCATTAATTAAAATTATTTGCCACCTAAAAAGCAACGAAACTGTCATCATTTTTGGGCCTGTGCTCCTATTATAGAACATTCATTACGCATAGCAGAGCCCTCATTAAATCTAAAAAGAAAGGGGGAAAAAAAACTTTATTCACTTAGTGGAACAGAATGGAGGAGACTAAAAATCCAATGAAAAATAATATTTTTTTTTAATTCAAAAAGAAGCACCACTGGGCTTTCTTAAATATGCAATGAAAAAATGGCAAAATTTTACAAAAACAAGTTCAAAATAAATATAACCACTAAAAATCTAAAATAGAGGTACTGAATACATTCTAGAAAGATATAATAATAAATAAATATTTAACACACGTATACACACACATATAACATACAAACATACACACAAAATCGAATTAAAGACAACTCACTCGTAAATAATTTAGTGTTGAATTGGTTAAACCTTGTCTAGTGATATTTTTGGACAACTGTTCAAGAAGCACAGGATCTTGCTGTTGGGCCTATAAAAGTCAAAACTTAGGAATTCATAAAATAATGATTACAGAAAGAAAGGGTGGGCTATTTCCCTTACAAAACAGATTATAAAATAAATTTTCCTAAGTTGGATCTTGAAAATGTTATAAGGCTGTATGCAGCATATAAAATATAAACATTCTAATGAATATATATGCATTATGAACATTCATTCTTAACACAAGAAATGCAGAGAAACAAAATATTTAACAAAATCTCCTATGATACATATCTGACAAATGAAAAATTACATTCTTTACAAAACTGAATGCATAAATGAAACAAGTGAATTGATAATACCATTAAACTGTTTTGTGTTGATATTTCTTACAGTAGAAAATAACATAAGTGTACTCTCTGGACAGAAATATGAGAACTTCAAAACTTCACTTACACAGTGCTCTAATTAACGCATCACATGATGAATTTATATATTTACAATATATACATACAACTGACACAATCCAAAAACTCCAAATGTTTGTTATATACATGCATTCACAACATAGGCAATGTGGTACACATTATATTAAGTATGAAGTTTAACCTTATGCACAGTATGTGTCTGTATTATAATACACTTATATAAGCATAAATCTACATAAACATGATTCAGTTTCTTGGATTAGTAAATTGCTCAAACTAATTTGGATACAATACTACGATTCGGTAAAATGCTTTCACTGGGCATATATAATGGGGAACTTGTTTTGTATGTTAAATGCATGATTTCTTGGAAACAAGAACCAATCAACATTGAAGATTTTATGATGTCAGTCTTTCAACTGATACTGACTTTTTCCAAACACTATATTGTTTATGTTCTGCATTCTGCACTTTACAATGTGCACCCAAAAGGAAAATGGTTCATTTATGAAATACCTAAGCACAGTAGCCTGAACTATCCTAACATTTCTTACAAAATTTGCATTCATACACTTTAAAATACACTAGGCACAGCCAACCTTTTCACCAATAATTCAGCATATTTACTAGACAAGTCTCATGCTTGTTTCTATTTTCTTCTTCCAGCAGCAGACTGAAAACAACGTTAATTAGAAAATCATTCTTGCATTAAAAAAAAAAGGAAAAGGCACAGTTTCTAAGACTGGGCTCAATTTTGCTTTTGATGGATTAGGAGGAAATATGTCCCATTAATGAAATAACATCCACTAGCATCAAAACATCGCTGTTTAGTAAGCACCCAGAATAATGCAAAATTCTAAATTACGTTTTCATTTTATCTTTAGCTATTATTAGTTATTTTATTAACATTTTAATTTGCAATCCTGTGCTTGTAACATTGAAGCCATGCTTTCTTTTCGTTAAAAGCAAATCTAAAAAAGGTATTAAAAGTTAAAGTTTACAAACACAACGTTAAAAATAAGAACATTATGCATAGATGCTGTTACAGTAAAAACTAATTCATAAATGATTAAAAAATACTTATAAATAAAAAACATTTTCAAATAAATTACATAATTATTAAAAATAAGGATTATAAAGTACTTTTTAATGTGGAACAAATTTTAATCTTAAAATTAATAAAAGTTAGGAATGAAATATACAGCACTGAACATCCTAACACTGCATAAACCAATATAACTTAGCTATTTATCAATGTCACCATAATCCTACAGTGAAAATACTCATTTTTCATATTAGATCACTGGGCAATTCTGCAGCTTTTTCTATTTTCTAGTAAAGAATTCAACAATAGATTATAGTATTAAATGATGCAATAATGTAAACAAATAAACTATTATGAATATGAATCTGTATACATAAGAAAATGGATTGAATAAACAGTGAACTTGGAACATGCCAAGAGAAAACTGTATTCAATTCCTTGGATGTCTAATTAATAAAATCAAGAAATAGATTATATACAATGGTTTTAAAGACTTATGAAAATGGTAGAAAATACTGTTTTTCATTTTCACAAAAACACACACAAAGTCTACACAAAAGATTTTACAAAAAGTTCCTTACCTCCATATGAAGGGACATCTAAAAAGGAATATACAATGAATGAATATAGTTGAATGTTTTAATATTAAAAAAAGTATAAGTAACATATTTACAAAAAACACACACACACAAATGTAATAAGAGGGAATTCATGATACCACATGTTAAAAATTAATTAAATTTGAACATCTGAAGCTTTACAAAGGACCAAAAAGTAGCTATTAATAATTACCTGCATAGCAATAAGACTTCGAGATACTAATTCACGATGCTGGCGTGTCGCAAAGTGCCAAGATTTGATTCTCATAAGATCATCAAAAGTAAATTCCAAAATTAATCTCCCTTCTGTGCAGACCTGCAGAATGCACAAAAATTAAGAATAATTAGACATTTTTTTCAAGAGGGTATTACAAGTGTGACACATTCATAGAAAAGATTTAACAAATGAAAATAAATTTTATCACAGAATATATTAAAGAAGCCATATCAATATTATTTCAACAGGTTGTATTTATATTTTAATAGCAGCTTTCTGAGAGATGCAAAAACTATATAAGATTTATGAGGGTTTCAGCCCCGTGTAAGTTATCTGCACATGCTCATACATATTTCTTTATATTACAACTTACATAACATGTTAAATTTTTTGTCACAAGATTTATGCAGTAAGACTGCTGTTTTGGCTTACATAGCTATAAAAGAGGATTAAGAATTTGGCAGAAGCATGCCGTATCTATATACTTAAGAGGATAAATAAGAAACAAAGTATCAAAATATTAACACAGAAATAACACTTCTACTTGGAGTTACTAATATCTCCCCCCATTAGGACTACCATGATCTTCATGCAACAATTTTCTCTTTACAGCAAGTCTTTTCTAGCATTACCACATCTAGCATTATTAGACATTTCACAACCACATCTAACATAATTAGTTTTTCCTACTGCTATTAGAACTTCCTTAATCTTGCATTAGTGGGGCTAGTTTTTATGCCATTAGTATCATGGGTATGTTTCTTATATTTTATGCTTATTTATGATTTGGGGTACCAACACACCCCAAATCATAAATAAGCATAAAATATAAGAAATGAAAAGCAGTATTATTAGGACAAAATTTTATTTATTAAATTCAAATAAATTATTACTATATGTATAACAATTTTAGAAATTATGGTACAAAGTCCACAGTCTGAACCTCTAATACCACCAACCAAAATAAATTAATAAAGTAATAAAAATTCCCCTCTTACAAAATATAGGAATAAAGACTATAACAGCAAAATAAGGCAGGTTGCTGTAAATGCAATTTTTGTGCGGACTAACTGAGATTTCTGCATGTTACATTTAAACACCTGCTGGCTAGGTAGTTGTGCTGTGGCCAATAACAATACACCAACTGATGTTATATTGATGCTAGCCAGAATCATGTTTTCAGTCCTTAAATGGTTATGGGGTGGCAGGGCCGGTGCTATGCATTTTGCCTTAGCACCATTCTTGCACACACTCTGTAGCCCAGTATATCTCTAAATTCTTCTGCCCGATGTCTCTCCTAAATTCTAAAAATTCACACATCTCATAATTTTTTATGCTTGGTCCTCTCTAAATTCTAAAATTTTTGCTGCCATTAAATTCTGACACCCGACTGTGGTCGCACCAGTTGCACCTGCTTTTTCCTGTGGGAAGGAGGGTTAGAATTTTTCAAACTGACCCTACAATAAGTCCCAATGTTGCCACGTGTACATGCCATCCTACTAGATTTAAAATTACCTAAAGTCAGACTTTCTGACATCCAGAATCTCCAGAGTCCTGATGTTTCTGAATCTTGGAATGCATTTAGATTTTTTAAATCATTCATATTTAAAAGCATACAAAATATCATCATAAATTCAATATTACCAGTAAGGAATCATCAAATTGCAGTTCCTATGGATAACAATTACAGCAATATTATATTGTCGTCATATGCTTTGCATAGAGAAGTTTCTTGCAAGTACGACAAATGTTCTTCATAATTATTTCAATCTTGGGCAGTCTGAATGATGACTCTGATGTTATAATTTAGATAACACTGACTCTATGTCACTTTGCATGAAACACTGAGCTTTCCTTTTCAAATCTTTTTCCACAAAAGTATTCAACTCCCTTTCCTTTACGTAATTTAACATTAATTCCAATGCCAATTCTTTCAAAACTTTGTCACATTTTCACAGTTTATCTAAACATTGCATAAGCATCAATTCCAGCTATATTCAGCACTGCGAAAAATATCACACGTGTCCATCTATGACTATTTCTGGATACATCACACACGGGGCACATCAATCAACAGTACCAATTCTTCATTTTGTACTGTTATAAAAATTTATAATTTCTGGCTTTTGTGTCGAAAATTGTTATTAAATGATTATGATGCTTGGTGCTAAATAGTATGATAGTTTTGCCTCAGAGAACAATTCAAATACAGAAAGAATCTATTAAAATAAAACACATCTGTTCTAAATTTACTTAATCCCTTAGGTTTCCACTGCATCCCAAAATTATAAAATCATTTTGACACGCCAATAAATCACTATAACAAATACTAGAATTCGGAATTTTGTTAACAATTATATTTTTGGAAAATACATAGGTATTTCAGGCATTGCTACATGAGTCATTACTCAAGTTGTCATGTTTTGATAAACATGCAGTGATGAAAGGAAAGTATAATAATATAATAAATAATGATACGCCAGCTTGGCGTCAGATCAACGATGTACCTATGTGGAATGTTTCGGTTTGAGATGTGTGCCAAGCAGATATGCAGCAACTGAGCCAAATTACTGATCATACATATTTATGCTAAAATGATTGTTTCTTCAATAACAAGGTAGTATTTTATTTAGTGTCGAATTGAAATTAAGATTTGGGACTCTCCAGATGTTTCATTATGCACGAAGGGGGAGATAAAATGCGCATGCATAAAACCTATGAGAAAACTGTTGGTGGTGGTTTTAAGGTCCGGATTTTAGATCATTCTGATTATTGGACATCCGGATTTCGGACTTTGTACCGTATCAAGATATTTGTTAGATATACTGCAGTACTTTACTACTTTGACTTTCTTAGAATAAGCTTTTCTTTCTACCGGCTGAACTGAAATTAAAGGAAGTGTCGGCTAATCTTTGGAATATGGTAACAGGTAGTTTGGCAACATTTTGGTAAGGCGATAAAGGTTACTAGCTAGGACTTTAGCAGTGTATATGGATAAAGTCAAGAGTGTGCGCAATGCCATTTTTGTGCAATTCTGGGGTGAAAATAGGTCGACGTGTACATGGGTACCATGTATGTGCAGTTCTTAAAAACACGGCAAGCAGTGGGCGATTCTGCACTTTCTCCCAATTTCACACCTAATCTTCGTCATGATTAAGCACTTTTGTTCCATAAAAGTTCTAGCATAAGCGTAATTCGGCTAGCAGATTGTTGGAAAAATACGTTGAGTAAAAAAAAACATGCCTTTACTTCGTGAAAACAAAATGGCGTCCCAAAAACACTAGCAGGTTGCTGTAGCAGGGTTGGTCGCCAAATTTTCGCCAAAATATCGCCAAGTTACTATAATCCAAAGATTAACCAAAGCATCTTTAAATTGACAGCGTATTAGATTTTTTTTTTTAAACTAACTATGTGAAAACATTTTCCAATATTATGCCAATAATAAAAAATTTTCAAAAATGAAATTTTTTTTTTTTTTTTTTTTTTTTTTTTTGTCAAACCAGTACTTCTAATTAATTGAATAAAGAATTTTTTGGTAGCATTATTTAAAAAGGGACATTAAACAAAAACATGAAAAAATGGTGCATAAACCCAAGAAAAAAATTTTATCAGGCAAACATTCTATAAAAGAATAAGTTTCTAGCAAAACAAATCAAAATTACATAAATTAAAACATACCACAACTGCATTATCCTTTACTATTTGGTCTTTCATGGGATCATTAGGATACTGGCCACCAAGTCCCTGTTAATGCACTTTCATTAATCTTCATAATTTTCAATACATGCAAAGGCATTCACACGAATTCACTACAACTAATCTCATACAAATTTCAGAAAACATTACAGGTGCAAACTAAGTATACTATATAATTCACTTTGCAGGGATGGAAGCAAAAATTCTAAAACTCATGCATTTCTGTACAGCAAATAATAAATAGAGGTTTTTTTAAATTATGGAAAGTAAAAAATTACTTCAAATGCAAAAAATTCACAAAAAAAAGGGCTATAGAATTAATATTAAATAAAAATTATCTTTACTGTATCTGTAATTCATATCTGTAATTATCAAGCCCTAATATTAATAGCAGAATTTAAACTTTCAGTCACAAGTACTTAAATTTTTACTCTCTACGTATATTTTTATAGATATGCAAATAACTGTGAAAAATATAAGAATTTATAATTAAATTCTTAAATTCATTTTACAAGGATAATTGCAATATATAAACACATATTTTAAGGATTACTAAAAAATACACTTTGATTTTAAAAGTTTTTCTGTCTTCTACGTAATACCTGGATGTTCTAGCTATATTTATGCAGTAAATATGCAGCAAGAAAGAATAAAAAATAATTAAAACAAAATATTCATTTCTTCAATGCAGTTAATAAAACAAGGCATAAAAATTTTAATTCTATTGCAAACATGATTTAAAATATTTAAGAGAGAATGTCAAATTCATAATCAAAAATATATAAATAAAATGAACAATCCGTTATTGCATGACTGCTGCACAAACAACTAACACAGTCACTTCTCCTTTAGATCAAAAACTATAATGATAACATAACATAGAATTAGTATTTATTTTATAACATATAAACAGTGCATTTAGACTCTGCCTACGGAAAGGCCATGACAATGAATTACTTCTCAAACTAAATTATTAAAGAACTATATGGGACACTGAAATCCCTTATAATTTGGGAAGGGATATATACCGGTTTACGTGCAACAATTAAAAACGACCGCATTCAATTTCTCAAGAATATTATTATTACATGTACAACCACAATGTCTGCCTAGAGGCTCAAAATCATGAGAAACAAAGGAGTTATACTAAATGATATACAAAAGGGGGTTCTTTCTGATTATTTGCACTCTCCTGAAACGTATTCATGGAGTAATGCACTATTTCGCTAAAATACGCAATCCACAGTGTCACCAAAATGTATTAATGCAGCAATCCAGGTACATATATATGTAGCAGGTGACAGCCGATTTTCATCGTCAAATCCCAACAGACATTCTTCTGATTAGTGTCTGTCAAATTTGAGTACATTTTCTGTTTCTTATAAGAAAATGTAATGGGATTGTGAAGCTTTTCAGCTTATTAAAAAGAATGCATGGCACTTCTTCAGAAAAATAGAATTTTGTTCCATAAGACAGCCTTAAAAAAATTCCATGAAGCTGTACTTCTTACACAATAGAATTTTATGCATAGACTCCAACCTATAGCAAAACTTGTCAATAGTCAGTGTGTGAATAACCTTTTGACAATTTAGAAAATGTACACGTAAGGCATATTTTATAATTAACCATTTTTTAAATATTTAATTAACGATTAAACAAAATTAATTTAATTACATTCAATTTAAAATCCATAAATATAAAAGAACTGAATAATTAAAAATAATTCTTGTGAATTATATTCTTGAAAATTTAATTAAAAACTTTCATTTTATTTACTTAAGCAAAAATATCTTTAAACCTATAAACATATTATCGAAGCAAATATTTTAAATCACAAATAATTGTAGAGGAAATTAAAATCCATACACCATGTATCTTTGAGGTTTTTGGATTCTGATTTCTACAGGAGAATAGAATTTGAATGTGCTTTCAGTGACTAAAATTTTTTAGTTTGATAGAAATAGAGATATTAATACTTGCTAGTTCAGAAAATGAAATCCTCAAAGAAAAGGATTTTAAAAGCACCACATGATTGTAAAATTAATGCAAGTTTACTGACTCTGAGTTAGTTTATTTTTACAGATATGAAACTAAATATAACAAATATGTCCATTTTTTCAGAATAATTAATTTTTTTAAATTATGAACTTACAAAGCATATCTCTACTGAAATAAATCATTACAAAACTGAAAATATGCACCGATTCAAAAATAAATGACAATGATGTTATTCATCATTAATTTCACATAACTGCAAGATTTTTTCCCCTTATTTATTTTACAATAACATTACAGAGAGGAATGTTTTTAAAATTTCAGTCTTGAATATGATGCTAGATTATGAGTGAAGACGTTATTTTTTAAAAATTAAAATATGCCAGACCATTTATAATTGCACGAGTTCTGCACATGATAGTACATATATAATAAATAAATAAAGCATCTCTTCAAGTCCTTTTGCAAGGGTAGCAAGAAATAGCTTAATATAAAAAGAAAGTCAATATTAATTAAAGCAAGTCCTTTTGAATACATCTATAACAAACATCAGTTATATACACGTAAGGAGCTATAAAATGAATTAAGACAAAATATGGGTAAACTAAGATTAAGTCAAAATTTAAGAATAAACTCTTCTCACACTTTTGCAATTTATTTAAAATCAGTCACATCTAAAATTATTTATACCAATCAAAATATTTCTATGCAAAAATTCAGATTGGTTAATGTCTAAATACACAACTAAAGCTTCTATCAATAAATAAAAATTACATAAACACGCAATTACCTTATTATACATAGGCTTTCCATGATATGTTATCATTGTACATTGATCACAATCCAAAGTTATGGAAGTATTATGAAATGATTCTTTAGGATGTTTCAGGTTAAATGATAAGTCTGATACTCCTCCTTCAAATATACTTCGAAAATATCGTGGTATCAAAGTTCGGCCAATCGCTGAAAGGTAAAAATAATGCACATGCTTACTCTTTATATAAAATATAGTGCAATTAATTAAACCAATGATGTAAAATAATCTACATGGGCATATCCTGACTATTATTAACAATGGTACAAACGAAAAAAACCCACAAAATTTAAAGGAAGAAATAGTAGATATACACTTTTTTCTTTTAAATAAAATCCATACTAATACTCAAGTCTTTCACTCATCATTGTTTATGCTAATTAATCCCTTAATGAGGTTTCTCTTCAATGCATGGTCTGTATACAGCACTGCACTTATCTTGCCCACTCACAAAAAAAAGGTCTCTACATACCAGACATAGATTATGAACTGACATCACTCTTCAAGTCATGTCATGTCCCATGCAGCATGCCTCCATAAATATAGTTTTGGGAAAATAAGAATATGATATTTTTTGCATTTTTTTTTACAAATATACATATAAAAATGAGAATACTGTCAATGCTTTACCCTATTTTCCCCACATTATTTTTACAAATATTATATGAATAAAAATTTACTGAAAAAAACTACTGTCATCATGGTACCTTTCATTTGTTACTTTTATAAATATTATGAATTCTAAAATATTATTATACACACATATACAAATTCTGAAAACTCTGGCAGAAAATTATGAATTCAGAATAGCCATTAATTTTTTCCCCCATTTTAGTTCATTATTTCCTCTTTATTTTATTATTCATTATTTTAATGTCTGAAAGGCATTTTAATAATTTTTTAATTATACATATAAAAATGAGAATACTGTCAATGCTTTACCCTATTTTCCCCACATTATTTTTACAAATATTATATGAATAAAAATTTACTGAAAAAAACTACTGTCATCATGGTACCTTTCATTTGTTACTTTTATAAATATTATGAATTCTAAAATATTATTATACACACATATACAAATTCTAAAAACTCTGGCAGAAAATTATGAATTCAGAATAGCCATTAATTTTTTTCCCCCATTTTAGTTCATTATTTCCTCTTCAAACAAAGAAAAGGAAACATGCCGAAAAAAATTGTTTGTTTTTGTGAAAAAAAAATTTTTTTTTAAACATACTTTTAATGTTATATTCTATTTATTTCAACACGACTTTAATTTTTAAATAATAAATATTTTTCAAAACTGAAAATTTAATCTTGATATTTTACATAACTGTACTGTATAATCATTATTATAACAAACATGATGGCAGACATTTCCCCATAGTTTTTAACATAACTAAGAAATTTATATGATTCCAATAATTTTTAAATGAGAACATTTTTAATATGAATTTTAATGTCTGAAAGGCATTTTAATTTATTAGGCACAGAATGTGCAGATAATTCAGTTATAAAAAAATATGTGCTGAAAAATACATATTAGAACATTTTACTTTGTTTCATGTTTACTAACAAACAAAAATTAAGCCAGTTTATTAACTAACACAATGAAAGGCATTACTAATTATCAAGATCTACAGAATTAATATTATGCTTCCATTATTTGTGAAGGTATAATTTATGTGGAATCGGAGAAAGCAAGTGAAAATTTTATATTTTCAATACTTAATATTCATGCTGTATTCACCAATACAAAATTTTATAAACTGGTTTATTGCAGTTCAGGTTAAGGGGGATGTTTTGACATACTAAGCTCTGATGTCTTTTCCTTTTCTCAAATGCTGAATGAATTATTTTTTTAATTTGCAGATTTATCAGACTCTTTTATTTATTATCTATTGCTCAGTAAATAATAAATATCAGTTATACACACATATATTGAAGTAACAAGGATCTATTTTCAGAACTGAGTAGCAAAATATTAACTGTGAACAAATCTGAATGACAGTAACAGGTTAGCATCTATCTCCTAGATTCCACACTATTAATAACAAAAGATGGCAAATTAAGAACTTAAGGGCCATTTGTTTTGTACATAACATTGCATGTTTCATTTCAAAACATTTATCAATATTTTAATATTTATAATGTTCTTACATGTAATTTTTCTTGAAACAGGCTTACATGAAACAAAAAAAGGGTAGCAAGAAATGGCTTAATATAAAAAGAAAGTCGATATTAATACACAAAAATGTTAAGAAATCTGTTCTAAAAGATACATATACTATAATGCTTTCCACACGTTTGTCACTTGCACAGAATGTAATTTTTATATAGTAGTTATAAAATTCAAATGTTTTCTTTGCTGTTTATAGTATTTTTCGTTAAAATAATTAAACTTCTGTCATTTTTGCATTTAGTCTCAGAAAATTTCCTATAATGTATCTAAATTTATCTCAAATGCATTGTGCTATCCAAGAATAAGATTTTTAAAGAGCAAAATACTTGTTATTTTCCCCTATATCTGCATTTATATTTTTGTTTGAGTTTTTAGAAAACTGTAACTAAGATATGTAAATTAGTTTTCCTTAAAACCTACCTGAAGGTGTTTCTTTTTTGGAAGATAACATTTAATTGATCTGCCATAATGTAGTAAACAATTACAGTAAGAAAACAAAATCAAGTAAGAATAATTGCTTCCCTTTCAATTATAAATAAATTTATTTCTGTATATTGTAGCTTCAGGTTTATCTAAATATAATTTTTCAGATTAAAACTTGAAAATTATGGTAAATATTAAAATTGCTTGAAAATATTTATTTGCATTTTTATCTAAAACATTTAAAATGTTTTCTGCTGTTAACCGTGTAAATTTAAAAAAATAAATAAATAAAAATACTGTAGCCTGCTGAGTAAATGGGACATTACAATTACACCACATCATCAAATCACAGGTTTTGATTTCCAGTTTTGCATCTACTGAAATAATAATAGTCTGTTTCTTTTCATTTATATTGTTTATTTATTAAAGTGACAGAAGTAAATTCTAATACAGTAGGAAAATAATTTTACACGCTGATTTAATTTCTGCTTTCTATTAATTATGGAAGCTTAAATAATGTAGCCTAAAAAGATTTTCTCTTGAGTATTTCACTGTAAATTTAAAGATATTTTTTAAAAGCGTACCATTGACACTATTTGTCATAATCTGCCAGGTCAGGTATCTCATTCCTAATAACAGTATGTATTATAAAAGACTGTAGTATACGATTCTAAAAACTTTTCAGAAATATGTCATTTAAGTGAATATTTCATCATCATCATCTTCATGATAGGGTAAAATCTTACTGCTGAACAAAATATTACTTCTGCAGGAAAGAGTCATTTTACTGATTTACATGTGTCAAACTTAGCATGATAACAGCTCTTGAGCTATAACTATCATGTCATGCTCTTTAGAAAATACACTTGTAGCCATTAATTTCCTATGTAAAAAAAAATAGGTGGCAATAGAAAGAATTGTAAAACTTCAGTTATCGGAGAGGACACGATATAAATGAGACTGCCTTAATATAGTTTCAGAAGGTATCATGATTTAAAACTTTGAGAAAAATAATGAAACTGGATTTTCATATACTGAAGATGAAATGCTGCTGTATATTTAAGAACTCTATTAAAATTCTGATAAATGTAAATCCCATCAAAAAAGATATTATAATGGAATTAGAATGATTCTTATGTATTCTAAATATGTTTAGCATGCTCAAAGTGCTATTTATTTCTTAAAATATTCTGCATGGTTACATTTTACAAGAGAAAAAATAAAATTGTTTAAAAAGTAGCTAAAAGCCGTTATTTATTTTTCTTAAATTAATTAGAAAATAATAAGCTGTTTTTCAAATACTTGTCAGTTTCAAGAATGCAGTAAACTAGGTATATACTCAATTCTGGTAATTTAAGTAAATACTTTCCTACAGTAAATATGAAATTTCTTATCTTAAGTGTTAATCATTTAAAATTTTTTCTTAGAGAATGAAAAGAAGAATGTTTGGACTATATTATAAAATATTGCCATAATGGCTTGTTGGATATATTACAAGGTAATTTTCTTTCTCATATAACTTATATTGTTTAATTATACATATAGCTTATTTCTCATACAGCTTAATTAACCTTTACATCCTGTTTCTGGTATATCTTCATATTTTTAAAATACAGGGTGGTTATAATTAAAGTTACCCTATTCAGACCTATGTACAGCCTGCTCTGTTAGATTTATTTCATTGAAATGATATATATAACATCTACTATATATAATGTATATACATACCATGAAGAAAAGAAATCTACAATAAAAGTGAACAGTTCAAATATGGAGCAATATATGGTGTTTTTGATGCAGTATAGAACAGATTTTATGCAAATCTGGAACATTTTAAAAAGCCAGTAGTCAATGCCATAAACACATTCTTCACCATGCTTTAGAGCAGAAAGATTGAGCTTCACTGATCAAGTTGTTTTATCACAACGGCAGTAATGTTACAACTGCTCTGCGAGAATATTGACTCTTGAAAGGCTTACAAAAAGGGCATATGTCAAGGCACGGTTTGAAAAACAGGATTGCTAAATTTGAAGAGATGGGAGTTGTATGTGCTGCGAGGAAGAGGATGGAAACAGATTTCGAATGAAATTATGAAAGAAGTCACTCTTGACGCAGTTGAAATAGCTTCCAGTTCACAGTATTCTCCAACAAGTGCTCAAGTGGTGTCACATGATTTGTCTCTGCCTTGGTCAATAGTATGAAAGGTTCTACAATCCATTTTAAAGTAGTAGCCATTCAAGATAAAGTTCTACAAGAGCTACCTCTTGCAAACTCAAATACATAGATTTTGCTAGCCTTCTTTTAGCCAGAATAGCCATTGACAATGCATGCTCTTGGAACACTTTGTAGTTAGACAAGTCACATTTTACTCTAGACAGAGCCGTTAATACATACTTAAAACTGCTGCATATAAGGTACAGCAAGTTCTAATGCTGCACATAAATGGTCTCTACATCCTGATTATATTACTGTACGGTGTAATTTTACTGGCAAATTCATTCTTGATTCCTTTTTCTTTGAGGAGGCCACTCCTCAAGGCCCTCA